TCAAGGAGGGCTTTCTAACAGTTGTGGAGAACAGAGTAGGATCTTAGTGCTGGCAGCTACGTGGCCTGAGATTTAATTTTTAACTTCTTGTTACTGACTGGAGGCACAGTAACAGTAAAAACAGAAAGCTTTCTTTGATAGAATCAATTCCTCTTCTGCTAAGAGGAAGGGGTGAGGAGAGAAGGGGAAGAGAACTACTGTATACCACCAGGTATAGTACCAGACACTGTTACCACAATCCTACCGAACTTGTACAATGAACAAAGAGAGGAAACTAATCCCCGAGACTAACTCTTCCAAGGTCCCACAATTCCTAACACTGTTTGAACATCGGCCACGTAGTCTTCCCACTGCATGAGGCCTACAAGTTATATCTCCATACTGGCAAGTAGGCACTGGGGCTGAAATCCTGCAGAAGGAGTCTCATCTCTTCTGAACACAGACACCTCTAGGGTAATGGGAATTTTAACCTTAGCATTGGTGACCCAGGCCAAATGTGCATGCTTGGGAGGGCGAGTATGAAGTCATACATTTTCAGAGGGTGGATCTTGTCTTGCTTTCAGATATGTCCAATCCAGTCTCTGAGCTTGGCAAACTAAGACCTCAGCATGAGAAGGTGCTCACCCCAGGCCCCCCACCACTCACTCAGCTTCTCCTTTGCTTCCTCTTTGGCCTCTTTTCATTTATAGTGTTTTTTGCAGGGGGACAATCAGAATGCATGTTGGAAAATGCTCCTCTTTCTCATGCTGTGCCTGCTACAAGGTGAGTCCCAAATATAGTGAAGGTTCTGGGTTTGCAAAACTAGCCTCAAGTCCTCCAGGCTACAGAGATTTCTGATGGACACTGCAGTGGCATTCAACATAGCGTGAACATAAATGAGTGGTCATCAAAAAGTTCAGGAAAAGTGCATATTATGAAAAAATCTAGGTATGGATTTCAAAATAAATTTTGCATTAAACTTGTCATTTAGTTCCTCTGGTCCATAAACTTTTTGAAGTCCCCTTATATGTGACTTTCTCTCCTAGGATCCAAGGCCATGTAGTGGATCCAGGGAGTGATCAGATTTGGTTCCAGAAGGAGTGAGAGAGGCCTGAGTCCCCATGAAAAGGACATATGCCTGACTTGATGGTTTCTAGAATATTTACTGCTTTGATATTTCCCATGTTTCTACTCTCTTCCATTCAAGTTGATGACTAAAAGTCAGCTCTATTAGGGTCCCAGGGCATGCAAAAGACAGAAGTAGCATGTTTCATCACTACTCTTTGTGCAAACTCTTAAGTGTCGGACCCAACTCTAGGGACATAAGATGAAGACCCTGCCCTATGCCTAAAGAATTCAGAGTCTAAGGGAACCAGCAGTTAGCATAATGGCTATGTCGCTAGACTCCCACATAGTCGACTGCAGTTCGTGTCCTGGACCCGGTGGCTTAAAACTCACGCCGGGCGTGTGTGCGTGCGTGCCCAAGATCCCGAGAGGAGAATGGAGGAGAAGGGATTGCGGTGTGACCATCCCCCCTGGGGAGTGATTTCTCGCTTTCTGTCTCTATGTCTCTCTCTGTCTGTCTGGTGAGTGCACACGCCCTATAGCAAAAAACCTCTCCAAAAAAAAAAAAAAAGAATTCAGAGTCTGCAAAGAAATTATATTGGTAAATAAAAGCTATATCCATTTATTCACTATTTATCCAACTAACATTTTTGAAGGAATTACAATGTACCAGGCATTGGGAACAGATCAGTGAAAGACAGAATCTCTTCCCTAACGGTCCTCCCAAGTGAGTATAGTAAGGCTGGCCAGGTACAGATCAGGCTCAGGTGACAAACAGCCCTGTCTTCATGCTGTGGTATCTAGATTTTATTCTGATGAAAATAGAGAGTCATTGAGGGATATAGTGAGTATGTGGCTAGAGTATCTAGAACCTAGGACATTATATTTTAACAAATAATTATCGAAGGAATGAATGATGAAATGAATGGATGAAATGAATGAATGAAATGCCATGAGAACAGCAAAGAAGAATGAACAACTGCGTCTGGCTGCAAGGTTCTTTCCTCTACTGAAGGGTGGATTGAACAGAGATACAGGGAGTTGGAAAAAGACACAAGGTATTGTGTCATGTTGTTCATTGGCTCAGTTTAGTGGGAGCTCAGAGAGTTCTTAGCAGGCTCACAAAGGCCACAGCAGTGCTGGCAAGTGCTTCCACCCTCTTGGGATTTGGAACACATGTGGAGAACTCTCAGAAATGGTTTCTCCCTCCTGGAGCTCACAGCATGCAGAACTGAGCTGAGCTGAGTCAAGGCCAAGCCAAGGCCATCAGGATGAACCAAAACCGTGCAGAGCAAGGCTAGTTAGCAAAGCAGGGCTAGCTGGCAGGGCAGTGCTAGACCAGGTGCTCCTTTCTCTTAAAGGGGCTGTAGACAATAGTGGCCCATTCCCAAAATGGAACTGTCACACACTCCCACGTGTGTTATATTCAATGGTGTAAACCAGCAAAGTCATAATTACATAATAAGTGTGCAAGTGCTCTACAATTAATGATGTCAGTTGTTTGCCCTGTGGCCTTCAAACATGATAAGATAGGAGGTGAGGCAGTCAGACTAAGCCATCCTGACTCCATATGCCATCCACTGGCTTTAAAAAAATCAGAGTTTTAATTGATTAAAGGCAGTACTATCTGAGTAAGCACTCTCTCTATGTTATAATCACACCACCTCTTTATTTTAATCTCCCACTTCCCCCCTTTTAAAAATTCAGTTATTTTGTTTATTTTTATTTCATGTTTTTTACATTTAATTACTGTACACATGTATACGCAGAAAGTCCCACTTCCCCTTTTAAATATTTTTCAGTAGGAGCAGGTTTCCCCTACTAAAGCAGGCCAGTTTAAGGGTTAACAGGATGGCAGCCATTTTTGAAATTAAGAAAGGACTCTTAATTTCAAGCAAGAACGTGCCCAAGATCCCGAGAGGAGAATGGAGGAGAAGGGATTGCGGTGTGACCATCCCCCCTGGGGAGTGATTTCTCGCTTTCTGTCTCTATGTCTCTCTCTGTCTGTCTGGTGAGTGCACACGCCCTATAGCAAAAAACCTCTCCAAAAAAAAAAAAAAAGAATTCAGAGTCTGCAAAGAAATTATATTGGTAAATAAAAGCTATATCCATTTATTCACTATTTATCCAACTAACATTTTTGAAGGAATTACAATGTACCAGGCATTGGGAACAGATCAGTGAAAGACAGAATCTCTTCCCTAACGGTCCTCCCAAGTGAGTATAGTAAGGCTGGCCAGGTACAGATCAGGCTCAGGTGACAAACAGCCCTGTCTTCATGCTGTGGTATCTAGATTTTATTCTGATGAAAATAGAGAGTCATTGAGGGATATAGTGAGTATGTGGCTAGAGTATCTAGAACCTAGGACATTATATTTTAACAAATAATTATCGAAGGAATGAATGATGAAATGAATGGATGAAATGAATGAATGAAATGCCATGAGAACAGCAAAGAAGAATGAACAACTGCGTCTGGCTGCAAGGTTCTTTCCTCTACTGAAGGGTGGATTGAACAGAGATACAGGGAGTTGGAAAAAGACACAAGGTATTGTGTCATGTTGTTCATTGGCTCAGTTTAGTGGGAGCTCAGAGAGTTCTTAGCAGGCTCACAAAGGCCACAGCAGTGCTGGCAAGTGCTTCCACCCTCTTGGAATTTGGAACACATGTGGAGAACTCTCAGAAATGGTTTCTCCCTCCTGGAGCTCACAGCATGCAGAACTGAGCTGAGCTGAGTCAAGGCCAAGCCAAGGCCATCAGGATGAACCAAAACCGTGCAGAGCAAGGCTAGTTAGCAAAGCAGGGCTAGCTGGCAGGGCAGTGCTAGACCAGGTGCTCCTTTCTCTTAAAGGGGCTGTAGACAATAGTGGCCCATTCCCAAAATGGAACTGTCACACACTCCCACGTGTGTTATATTCAATGGTGTAAACCAGCAAAGTCATAATTACATAATAAGTGTGCAAGTGCTCTACAATTAATGATGTCAGTTGTTTGCCCTGTGGCCTTCAAACATGATAAGATAGGAGGTGAGGCAGTCAGACTAAGCCATCCTGACTCCATATGCCATCCACTGGCTTTAAAAAAATCAGAGTTTTAATTGATTAAAGGCAGTACTATCTGAGTAAGCACTCTCTCTATGTTATAATCACACCACCTCTTTATTTTAATCTCCCACTTCCCCCCTTTTAAAAATTCAGTTATTTTGTTTATTTTTATTTCATGTTTTTTACATTTAATTACTGTACACATGTATACGCAGAAAGTCCCACTTCCCCTTTTAAATATTTTTCAGTAGGAGCAGGTTTCCCCTACTAAAGCAGGCCAGTTTAAGGGTTAACAGGATGGCAGCCATTTTTGAAATTAAGAAAGGACTCTTAATTTCAAGCAAGAACAATCTGACCAAGTGCTGAGTCAGAGAGAGGTCTGTTTAAGGAATGGTCAGATGAGAAACCAGAAATGAGTATTTAAAGGAATCAGGATAACTACTCAGGGGAAAGTGATCGACTTTGATTGATTGTACTGAGGAATGATTTGCACACGCTTGTATCTTGGACCTACAAATGCAGAAAACGTATTGCCCTTTTCAAGACAGTTTGAGGCTACTCACTGAATTCTCCCTGTAACTAGTTTCAGAAATAAACTCCCTTCTTCTCCAGCCTCTGCCTCTTGTTTCATTGACCACAAGTCAGACTTATCTGGGCAGTAACACTATGTCCTAATGAAAACTCAGGCAGGCCCATGATTTTTCTGTTAATGTTACAAGTAGTAGTCCTAAATTAAAAGCTATGGGTCTCTAATGTTCTAAATGTGATCATTTTAAATGTCTAGTTAAATATTTTAGTCAGTACTTTAATCTTTTTTTAATGTGTTTTTGCCTTAGGGCATGTACACTTGCCAGAGAGAGACAGAGACAGTGAGAGGGAAAATGAGAAATCACCCTCCTGGGGGATGGCTGTGCCACGATCCCTTCTTTTCCATTCTCCTTCTGGAATCTTGGACACGCATGCACATGCAGATGTATCCAGTATGACTTTCAAGCCACCAGGTCTGGGGTTTGAACCGCATTCAGCCGTGTGAGAGTCCAGTGATATAACTGCTACACCATTTGATGGCCCCCAGTACTTTCATATTTATTCAAACATAGACCTCCTCTTTGCCCCAAGGCTTGCAGAAAAGGGATGTAGTTGCCACCTTCTCTCCTCGCCCTCCCAGTGAAAAAAATGAGAAAAAAAAATGCAACCGCTTGTCCAGGAATGTACCCAGTATGCAGAGCAGGATTCCTGTGTGTGCAGAGGAAAAGCACATCAACATGTTCTGTCTGAATAGCGGGTAAGATTGTTAGTGCATTTTCATCTTTCATAGGGCCTTAGGTGCAGCTTCATCCCAAGTCTAGCAGAGACTCCCGCCTGCCCAGAGACTGAACTCTGCCCTTTCTATGCTGACTCTGCTGCGTTGCACAGTGGCATTTTCTGACCCCTGATCCTGACAGAGGATGGGGCTTGTCACTTCAAGACGGTGACTATGCTCACCAATTCATCTCCTTTGAATTTTTTCTGTCTTCAGCTGCAAATGCATTGACGGGCCCAAGGCAGGTGTCTGGGGAGCCTGGGGGAGCTGTCACCATCCAATGCCATTACACCCCCTCATCGATCAACAGGCACCAGAGGAAGTACTGGTGCCGCCTGAGGCCCCTGACGTGGATCTGCCACACCATTGTGTCCAGCAACAAGCACATTCACCATCGCTATCACGGCCGTGTGGCTCTAACAGACTTCCCACAGAGAGGCTTGTTTGTGGTGAGGCTGTCTCAGCTGTCGCTGGATGACGTGGGACGCTACCGCTGTGGCATTGGAGACAACAACTATATGCTCTCCTTCAGCATGAACCTGACCATCTCTGCAGGTGTGAGCTCACAGCCAATGGGCCCGGCGTAGGGAAGCGAGTGCTAGGAGGGGGAGGCTGCAAGAGATGGTTCAGAGGTTCAAGGGGCCTTTCAGCATGAGGGTAGGGATGGTGAAATCCAGGGCAAGGCAAAGGCTTCACGAAGTAGGCTTTCATTTCCAAAGGAAGCTCCCTCAGGAGGGTAGATACTAGGAGAGACTTCCCAATGGAATGCAGGTAGGTTCTCCCACCCCATCTCCCTGAATCCTGTGGAATATGGACTTGGGGCCAGTTCCAAGAAGGTAGTGAATTGGGTCACGTGGCTTCATAGGGTCCTGATGACTCTGCTCAGCCGTGCAGAGCAGGGGTAGCACAGCACACTGAAGAACTGGGACTGGACCCTTCTAAGACAGATCCTTACTGAGCCCCATGGCAGGCACCTGGGGCTGCCAGTCCTATGTGACAGGCTCCAGAGAGTCAGGCACTCTGAGGAGGAGGAAGGGTGACCTGGTTGTGAAAGGTCACATGATAGAAGAGGTGACAGTCCAGATACGGCCCTACCTAGCCCCCGATTGGCTGCCCTCCTAGAACTCAAGTGCTTCTTTCTTTCCTTTAAAAAATAATTTGAAAGTTACTTAAAAAAAAGTTCATTTATTTTAGAAGTGAGAGAGACAGAGAGGGAGAAAGGGATACAGCTGCCATCTACCCTCAGCTCCAGGCAACTCAAACATGTGCCTGGCATGCTCAGGCTGGTCCCCAGCCTCGAACCAGCAACCTTCCCAAGTGGGACATCCTTGGAGAGTGTTGCATTTTATAACAGCCCCACCGACCAGCCCCTCTTTCTATTTTACTTACTGAAGAGCTGTACCTGATGGCTATGGGTCTCTGGGGAAGGGCAGTCAGGGGCTTGTGGATAGCTGTGTGGAGAATGTGTGGCCAGGGAGGAGTCAGAAATGTAAATTGTTAGTATTTGCCACAGACTAGAGAATACATCTGGGTTCCCCCAATTTTTATTTTATCCAACATATTGGCCAGAGAGTGTGTCTCTTGTTGAGGTTACGTTCCTCTTAGCAAGCATTTCAAGCAGAGTCCTTGGCTAAGTCCAGGAGGTGGCCTGGATAGCCTTGCCCTCAGCTGCCATCTGTGGTCACACAGGTCCTTTCAACCACTCAACCACTCCAGTTGCCAGAGAGCTCATCACGGGATCCTTTGCAACAGCATCTCCAGCAACCAACACATGGACACCCGGAACCACCCAGATGACAGATGGACAGGGGATGGAATGGGGTGAAGTTGCTTCAACTTTAGGAACCAGCAAGACCACAGCATCCACTCAGGGTGGACAAACCCCAGAGGTGACCAGGAGTATAGCCACAGGGCCAGGCACCTGGATAGAAGGTCCCATCAGGGCCACAGTTCCCATTCCAGAGCACCCAGCTTCGAAAACTGGAATCATGTCCAACATGACAGAAGGTGCTTGGGCGTGGGGTACCAGAAGCTCAGAAACAAATAGGGCTGGGGTCCATGAGGGCAGGAGGGAGATGACAAGTACTGAGGCTGTTAGGCCAACTGAGGGAACAGAGAGAGTCAGGATAGCTCTGGATGCAGCTATAGAGGGAACAGAGAGGGTCAGGATCGCTCCGGATGCAGCTACAGAGGGAACAGAAAGGGTCAGGATCGCTCTGGATTTAGCTACTGAGGCTGCAGGAACCATTAAGCCATCAGTCTCCCAAAAACTGGCCTGGGAAACACTCCAAGAAGCAACACCGATTTCTAAGCAAAGAGCCCTGGAATCCACTGAAGGAATGACCCCAACTGCAGGCGTGTGGCCCTTGGAAACCAGCGGTGTAAAGACGGCCTCTGCGGAAGGAAGAACTGAAGGGGACCTGGGCACTGCTGCTGCCGGCAGTGATCCCCGAGCAACGCCCAGCCAGAATCCAGCAACAGGACCCCGGAGGCCCCTTGACAAGGAATCCTCTGTGAAGAGGTAACTCCAGGCCCCTCCTCATGCTTGGGCCCCCAGCTGCTTCACTCATGGGATGTCCGTCCTCCTCTGCTCACTTTTCTCCTTTTGTATCTGTGGGACAGTGAAGGACGAGGGACACACACCCTGGGCTCCCTCCCTCACTCAAGGGTCCTGGCTTTGAGGATGCTGTCTGAGTCTTTCCACCTGGTTTTCAAACAAAAAACTAAATAACAGAATAACGGACTTTTTTTATTTATTTATTTTTTTCCAGGAACATTTGAGACTTTCTTTGTCTTTTCATTTTAAGATGGGGAACAGAAGCTCCAGAGAGGGCTAGTGACCTGCTGAAGCCACAGGAAAGATTGTGGCAGAGCTGTATGCCGAGGCTGGAGCCCCTGATGCTCCTTAGTCCTCTCTCTCATTTGGCACACAGTGGGGCCCACTTGCAGGTGGTGGAGCAGGAAAGGATCTGGGACTTGGGACCTGAAGACAGTGGCTCCAGGCCCAGCTCAGCTACTCGTCAGCAGGCGAACAAGGGCTGCCTTTGCCTGGTTTCTCCACCTGTAAAATAAGGGGCATGGGCCAAACGGTCTTTAATCTTTCTCTCAGTTTTAACCTTCTCTCTCCTGTGCTCTCCCATCCCTGCCCCGGCTCCTTCCACTCCAGTGCTTCTCCAGAAGAAGAGAACATGACTCGAGTCCTGCCTCCAGTCTTTACAGTGCTGGTCCTGTTTGTGCTTGTGGCTCTGGCTCTGTTGCAAAGGAAACTCCAGAGAAAGAGAACCCGTGAGTTGAGTTTAAGTAGCCCCAGGGATAAGGAGTACTTGCCCGTTACCTTCAAATCTGGGTGGGGCTAGTGTTGGTGCCAGGACTTTGGGATGGAGGAGAACTAAATTTCATTCCCAGCCATTTAATTACTCTTGGCCTAGGTTTCTTTCATTTTTTAAACCTAGTATTTCTCTTCTTTTCTTTTCTTTTTTTTTTTTTTTACATGCAATCACGGTACATCTTTACAGCATACAAAATGGATTTTCTTAGGATTTTGAATACATTGTAGATTAGTCCAGCCAAAGACATTACTATCTACATTATCATCACCATATATTTTTTCATTTTTGTGTCCATTAAATGATTTTGCTTCTTTTTTTCTTTTTTTAAATATGGAGCACTTCACAAATTTGCATGTCATCCTTGCACAGGGGCCATGCTAATTTCTGTATCGTTCCAGTTTTAGTATATGTGCTGCTGAAGCAAGCACGACCTTGTTTTTATTATCAGTAAAATGTGCGCTTGCTGGAGAGACAGACAGAAAGACAGAGAATGAGAAATCGCCCTCCAGGGGGGATGGCCATACTGCAATCCCTTCTCCATTCTCTCAGAATTTTGGGCATGCATGCACACATGCCTAGCATGAGTTTAAGCCACCGTGTTTGGGACTCCAACTGCAATCGACTACGAGGGAGTCTAATGATGTAACCATTAGGCCATCTACTGGTCCTGGTACTTATTTCTCAATGGCACCCTAGAGTTTAAGAAGAAACTCTTTGGAGGATTGCAAGACACATTAACCCTAGCCTTAAGAGGAGCTATATGAGCAGTTCCAGCAGCAGAGAGCAGGAGTGCAGAGACCTGGGATCAAACTTTGTATTTGCCCCCTTCCGCATGCAAATGGAACCTGCTGAAATGTTCTGACAGTGACATGCCCAGGTTTAAATACTCTGCAAGTGTGTGCTCCATAGTGTTTTGATCTCATAAAGAAAAGGTGAGGTTTTCTGGGAGCAAGTGGAGAGACTAAGGTTCTCTAATCCAGGTTCCCAAAGTCCTAGCCCAAGTTATTGTTGCTCCAAGGGCTCAGTTCCTAGTCTTATGTGTTGGGAAGTTTTCAAAAACTTGCATTGAGGGAACCAGCAATTAGCGTAATGGCTATGTCGCTGGACTCCCATGTAGTCAACTGCGGTTCGCGTCCCGGACCCGGTGGCTTAAAACACACGGGGAGCATGTGCATGCGTGCCCAAGATCCCGAGAGGAGAATGGAGGAGAAAGGATTGTGGTGTGACCATCCCCCCCTGGGGGATGATTTCTCGCTTTCTGTCTCTATGTCTCTCTCTGTCTGTCTGGCAAGCATACGCGCCCTATAGCGATAAAAAAAAATAATAAAAAAATAAATAAAAAAAAAAACAACTCTCCAAAAACTTGCATTGAGTAGGGGTGTTTTTCAAGGAATCAAATTTAGTGCTGTTCATATCCAGACCCTCACAGCCTGCTCTGTATCTCTGCAGCTCATGAGATCAGAAGGGTCACCCTACTTCGGATGACATGTTTCCTGGATCCGGACCGCCAACCAGGCCAGCTGCCCCAGGTAGAAAGGAAAATGTTCCAGGATGGCTCTCCTCCTACCCAAGCCAGTATGACTGTAATAGAGAGGGACTCAGGACCCTGAGAAATGGGGTGGGGGGGTTGCTCAGTCACCTAGAAGGACCAGGACCAAACACCTCCATGACCCCAGCCTCTTATAATCTTTCTTTCACCTGCAATGAAGAGAAGCTAATGCAGCCGGAGTTCCATGTGGGGAAGCAAAGGCTGACCATCCTTGGGACTGAGAAGGTCAAACATTCTCCATGGCTAAGGATGACACTATGACTCAAAGAAGGTGTCAAGAAAGGAATGATTAGGCACTGAAAGAAGGCACCTAAGAAAAGTGCAGATGTCCATCCCTGGAGGTGTGAAAATACTGAAGGCTTCCAATCAGTTGCAGTTAAAAATTCCTCATCATTCCTAGCCCTTGTTCCCCTTCACCCCTGTTCTGGCATCTGTTAGTACTCAGCCTGCTGCCCACACTCACTGATGCTCACACAGACTAGCCTTGCCTTCTCAAGTAGATTTTAAGCTGCTTTGGGACAGTAATTGTGTTTTACCCATGTCACCATGTCCCCAGAGAACATACAGCTCCATAGGACCCCCTCTACCCCATACATGTCTATGACTGTTTGGGAGGACACAGGCTAGTGGCCCTTGGAAACCTTGTCCACCCAGGAGCTTTGGATCTCTTTAAACTTCTGTCCCTTCAATTGGGAGTCCTCAGGATGACCTCAGAGGCAGGTAGTTTCTATGTAGAAACCAAAATGAAAAACACTCTTTTTTTCCATCACTCCCCATTTGACCCCATACTTATTATACTGTAGACCTTTTGACCTCATCAAGAGTTTCTGGGATTTTCCTAAATTCGTGGAAGAAGAGGGTATTTTTCAGTACAGTCTCACCTTCTTCATAATGTTCCTCTGGTTCAATTGTTTATAAACCCTCAATAGCAAGGACTGTTGATGAAGCTGGAAAAGGGCTTTGGGGCGTGGAGTTGGGGAATAAAGAGAAATTTTACGTGGATTCAGCCTTTTAACTCATTCCTTCAGGCCTGTTGGGGAACTTTCACTTCACTCTTGGCCTTACTGTCTTTCCAGGAATCAGGCCTGCTCTTTCCTTTGCCAGATCTGTTAGTGAGCTGTCTGGACGCCATATTCAGACAGAGCAGCCTTTGAACACAGGAAGCAAAAGGAGAAGAAAAGCTCCAGTATTGATTTGAGAATTGTCAGGCAGACAGTTTCAGAAGGCCCAGTCCTGCCTTCTAAGCTGCCAGCAACAATAGAAATCTGAAAAACCTACAGGAAAGACAAGATGGACACCATTAACCCACTCAACCAATGAGGACACAGGCCTTCATTGGTTCAGCCAAGGTCACCTGGCACATTAGTGTCATGGATGGACCCAGAACCCAGGCTGTTTAATCCACCTAACAGATATTTCCCAGCAGTATCCACAGAGAACTATATTCTGGGAACATGAAGAGGTGTTCTGAGGAAAAGAAGGTCTGATAGATGAAAGAAGCTTGGGAAATGCTGGGTGACACCACAAATAGATTCTTTTTTTTTTTTTTTAACTACGTCGTAACTTTTCAGATGATCCACTATTTTTTAAAATTTATTATTATTTTATTTTATTTTCTACAGGGCATATGCACTCACCAGAGAGAAACAGAGAGAGAGAGAGAAAGTGAGAGAGAGAGAAAGTGAGAGAGAGAGAAAGTGAGAGAAAGTGGTAGTTTTACCAGATCGAGGATTCTAACCACAGTTAGTCATGTGGGAGTTCAATGTCTTAATCACCTTGCCACCTGTTGGCAACACCCTAGCAGATTCTTTTATGCCAGATTTTTTTGAGCCTTAAGCACACTAAGACGCGGTGTGAATAACCTGGGAGTGGGGACATTGCATATGTTCCCTGAACATGGTGGACCATTGTGCTTGGGTAAAGCAATCTCGCAGCACTGTAGTTCCTCAGAACTCTCTTTCAGGAAACCTGATGGACTAAACCAGTGCTTGGCCAGTGTTTTCTGTAAAGGGCCACACAGTAAATGTTTTGGACTCGGCAGGCCATGCAGTCTCTGGCAACTACAGCAGTTGTAGCACAAATGCTGTCAGAGGAAGACAAACAAACAGCCGAGGGTGTATTCCAGCAAGATTTTATTTAGAGAAACTGGAGGCAGGCTGAATTTGGTCCCTGAGCCCTAATTTGGAATCCCTGTCCCAAACCACAGAAACTTACAACTCCCCAGTCCTCACTTTGAGTTGAAGGATCAGACTCTATTCTCTCTCCTGAGCAAACTGCACTAATACTTTCTGTCTGGAGTTCAGCAGCCAGAATGTCCTGTCTGGCTACTTTTCTCAGAAGAAGGAGAGGCGAGGACCAGTCCAGCAGGAGTGCTGGCCAAGCACAGAGCCAGGAGCATTTTCAGAAGAGTGTTCCTGGGAAAGATCTACCTGTGGGAGGAGCCAGTAGGAGCTGAAAGGGCCAGAGTGGAGTCAAGATCAGAGTCAAGGGTTAGGAGAGGGCAGAGATAAGATCTGAGTAAGAGCTTTGCAGGGAAGGAAGTGGGACAGTCCTGAGTGTTGACATTTGTTCCTTACAGGCTAACGGATGAGTGCAGGCGGGGCAGGAGCAACCGGGCAAGGTGGATTTAAAGGGCTCAGAGCAAACCAGGCAGAGAAAGCTGATTCCTCACCTTATGCTGTCAGTGATTTTTTTTTCTATTTTTTTTTTTGTCTTATATCTCCAGCTGTCCTGATGCTCACACCACAGAGATGAGGTGTAGGGGGACATCTATTACTAGGCTAGAATCAGGGCAGCCTCCATGCGGACTTCTATTCCAGGATGCAGGGAAGCCATTGACTTCTACCTGATGAGTGGATTTGGGGGCTAGGGTGCAGCTCTTCAATTCTCCTTACCCTGCTACTTGCTAACACTGCAGCTGCTTGCTAAGGCCTCTCCACACACCAGGCACTGTCCTAGGTGCTCTCACACTATATTGTATTTGTTGTAACATAGGCATGGTAGCTCCCACTTTACAGATGAGAAAATGGAGGTCCAGAGAAATTAAAATGTTACGAACTAGGAAAAGGCAAGCTACGATGGCCTGCCTCCCCTCTGGTTTGGGCTTATGGCCTGGGCATCTTGCTCTGGTCCTTGTAGTTCTAAAGGCCTACTTCCTTCTTTTGGGCCCATGTGGTAAAGGTTTCATAACTGTTTCCGGGAATTTGCTTTCTTTAATCACCTAACTAGCTTATTCTTGTCCTGGCCTACTGAAGCATGATACAAAAAAGAAGTTCAAGGGCCAGAACCAAGGCCTAAAAATGTGGGCACCGGTATTTGTACAAATAGAACTTAGATTCCCTGGACATCCATCCTTCTCAGGTCACTCTGCAAGGGCTTGACCTGACCTTATCCCACTTCTCGCTGTTCCCCATTAACACCCCAAGGGCTTCCTCCTCTCCCCCAGTAATGAGTGTGCTCTGAGAAATACAGTATCAAGTCAGGAACAAAGAGGAAGCTACTTCCACTTCTAATGTCTTCCGCCAGGTGGCATTCGGCCAGGTTATTCAGTCATTCTCTGCTGGTGCAGATGTCCTGGAGCAGAGAGCTGGACAAATGCTGGGTGGAGAGTGCTGCTTCTACAAGGGAGGAAATGGGCTCTGCGGTGACCCCATGTGCATGATCCAGGGCCACTAAGTGCTTTAATTAAGTGGCACGGCTTGGCCTACAGGCCCTGGCCCTTTCAGGCCCGTCCACTCCCTTTATTGTTTTTTTTTAAGATGAGCTGTCGCCCCACTGCCTGCTCTCCACGGGGTCAGCCGAATCTGGGGCAGGCAGCAGAGAATGACCAGTGTAGGAGAGGACCCTGTGCCACGCCCCTGGAGGCAAGTGATCAGGTGCCCTGAGCACTAGGCAGTAGGCCCTCTTGGCCTGCTTGTCCCATTGTCTTACACACGCACATTTGCTAAATAGGATCTGGACTCGCAAGTTCTGCTTCTTCCAGTGTTGGCTTTTTCCCCACTCTTCACTTATTTGCTGTTTTCACCCAGACCTACCAGTTCTTCTCTGAGCATAGAGGGTCAAACAAAGGTCACTTCTCTTCTGAATTGCAAATTTCGGACTCCTCACCCCTGAAGAGGAAAAGAGCCAGCACTACCTGTTCAATGTCATTTACCAAGGAGAACCTCAATTTGTTAGAAGATTCTGCTCTACACCTCAAACAAGAATTCAGGAGAAGGATGTCAAGAAGTTGGCCCTTTCAGGGCCTAACACAGGCAAACTTGGTAAATGTGACAGGTCTAAACTTCTTGGTAGTTTTTTTTTTTTTTTCTTTTTTTGCTATAGGGCGCGTGCGCTCACCAGACAGACAGAGAGAGACAGAGAGATAGAAAGCGAGAAATCACCCCCCAGGGGGGATGGCCATGCCGCAATCCCTTCTCCTCCATTCTCCTCTTGGGATCTTGGGCACGCACACACACGCGCCCGGTGTGAGTTTAAGCCACCGGGTCTGGGATGCGAACCGCGGTCAACTATGTGGGATTCCAGCGACATAGCCATTACACTAACTGCTGGTCCCCTAAACTTCTTGTTTTGCCAGCACTCTTCTTCCCTATAATCACCAGTGTGGTATGGTCAACTAAAAATTAATTACAGTCTACATCGTCAGAAAGAAGAAAACTCTTGTTGCTCTGATGGGCACACTGAGGCTCAAGGGGCACAAGCTGCAGGCCAGGCAAACCTTGGCTGAGGCCCAGGCCTAGACCAGGAACAAGGAAGCTTTGAGTCTTCAGGAGGACCCCAGTGGCTTAGCAGAGGGGCTGGGCCTGGTCACCTGATACCCCACCTATTGACTTTGGATGTCTACCCCCCTGAAATCTTCCTTCTTCCACTCCTTCCTAGCCAGGGTGTGGAGGTAGAAAAGGGCAGGAAAGTGGTTTGGTAATCAGTTTGCTCATTTGTTCCTGTCTCTCATAAACAGGTAATAAAAGGTGTTTGGAGCCTGGGAACTAAGCCCAAAAAGGAACTGAGAGAGCCTTCTGACCAGGGCCAATTTTCCATTTCCAGGCTCTTTTCTTTTTTTTCTCTCTTTCTCTCTCTCTTTCCTTCTTCTTTCTCTCTTTTTCTTTCTTCTTATTTTCCTCTTTCTTTCTTCCTTTTTTGTGTTTAATTTGCCAGAGGGCACACAATCTCTAGGGGAAGAGAGAGAGAAAAAACGGGAAAGTGAGAATGCACCCCTTATGGGGCATGGCCACACTGCAATCCCTTCTTAATCTCTTCTTCCTTTCAGGATTTTGGGCATGTACACACACATGCCCACTGTGTTTTCAAGTTGCCATATCTGGGACTTGAACCATGCAATTGGCCATGTTGGTTCCAGTTCACATAACCACCAGGCCACAGGCCTCTAGGCTCTTTCACGTACAGCTTCAGCATTCTTTCTCTCCAGATAGGGCAAGACACAGCCACCTCAGGGTGCTCCTACCACAGTCTCCACCTTCACTCCTCCACCACCCAAAGTGACGAAGGGTCTACGACCTCTCACCTCAGAAGAAATGCTATCAATTTCTGCTGGGGAGTCAGCTGAGCTAGGAAAACAGGTGAAGGATGGGACATTTGGGCAGTGCAACCAGGATGCAGGTGACGGAGAAGAAAATGACTCAGATGTTCATGTAGGAAAAAGGAAAGATTTAGGTTTGAGGCACACCTGCATATGTTTGGCTAGTAAGCTACC